GTTAGATTTTTTGGAAAGCACGTACACGTGCAAAAGAAGAATTAAATGAACAATTAACAGATTTTCAACAAAAGAGAACTGCTGGATTAGGTACATTATTTGGTCCAAGTGATGCTCAATTGGATGAAAGTGCATCTGATAAAACACGAGAAACAAAAATTATAGAAACATACCTCTTACCTAAAATGGAGCCTTATTTGTAAGTTTATTTATAAAGAATTTTATTTATTATTTTTAGTATTTCAATAATGTTAGTTTCATTTAATATTACTTACTTTTTAAATAATGTTTCAGAGAAGATATTGAAAAAGAACATGTAGATTTGCGACAATTTACAACAGCAGCTGGTCTGGCAACAATATTAACAAAAATTTTTCAAGTCCGACCACTATCACTTGACCGAGTACCTACTTTTGTCGCAAAAGATAAGTCAAATCTCAAAGCGCGTTTACTTACGGGAAAAACAAGAAAAATATCAATCAGAGGTCATCATTTTGTAGCTCATCAATACTTTACTATTACCTATTGTAATCATTGTCAACTTATCATTGGTGGAATTGGACCTCAAGGATACTTATGTAGTGGTAAGTAAAGTTTTATATTCATAAATTAAAAAATATAAATTTAATATATATATTATAGGCATGAAAAAAAAAATTTTTTAAATTTCTTCTTTATTCTTATTTCTTCTTATTACAGATTGTTCTCTAAGTGTTCATCGTCAATGTGTTCGTGTAGTAGAAGAAAATTGTCCAGGACCATTGGTTAGAAAAGAAAGAGGCAATGATCGTATAAGCAAATTGATGGAACGTATCAGACCTGAAAGAAAACCACCATCATCACATCATCATCATCATTCTCAAAATCACATGCTTCATGGTGAGTAATTCAGATGTAATATATTCTATATGTAATATAATTAATTAATTAAAATAGCTTAAAATATTTTTTATCATGAACTTTTAAATAATTTTTTATTATTGTTAATCTTTAAAAATTTAAATTTATAATATCGAATATAAATATTTAAATTGATTGTTAACAATTTTTAAATTTGAAGAAAAAAATATGTTTTATATTTATAAATATGTTTTATATATATATATAAATAAAGTGATGAATATTACATTTTTTCTCATTCAATATATAAAAACTTAATGAATCTCCAGGATCTGTGAACTATTTTAGAACATTTTAAATTTAGAACATTATTTTAGAAATATTTTTTTTTCTTTCCTTATATATATATATTATAAATGAAATTTATAAATATATTTTTTCTACATAATTTATTTTCTTAATATTTAATGTTATAGTTGATAAAATTAAAAGAAGTGAAGAAGATACTGGTGCATTGACAGATGGTGAAAATGGTAAGTTATTTATTTTTAAACCATTAAATCAAATAACATTAGAAATAATATTTTTAAATAAAATATTTTTATCCATTTTTTTTATTTTATATATCATATAATTAACACGTGAAAATTTTAATTATACATATTATATTAAAATTATTATTTATTATTTATGCAATTTTTATTAAATAATTTGTGTCATATATAAAATATAAGCAGTCCTATGTTTCATATTTTAATACATTATAATTTTATAATTTCAAAATCAAATTCACAGAAATAATTTGTATCTCATAGTATAAAATTTATTATTTTGTTTTTAAATATATTCTGAAGTTATTTTAAAATTTTTACTTTTTAAATAAAAATATTGATAATTTTATAATTTATTAATTTATGAAAAATAAGTAATAAAAATTTTTTTTTATATATGATAAAAATATATCCATATTATTCATATTAATCGGTTTATTTGTTCTACATAATTTATTAAGCGTCATTAATTATAATATATTTTTCAAAACAAAATTTACTAATTTTATGCATGATGTATCATAAATAATTTTAAATTGTAAATATTTATTATTATATTAAAACTTATACTTTACTATTTATATTATATTAAAATTATGCATTATCTCAAAAATTTAATCAAATAGAAATTAATTATCAAAAATAATATAATATTACAATATTAAAAAAACTTAAATTATTCATTTATTCAAATTTCATTAGTCTGAAATCAATTTTCTTTTATATACATAATATATGAGAACACATATTCAATTTCTTGTTAAATATAAGTTTTCTTGATGCATACAATATTCATATCCATTTGCAATGTTTTTTTATTATATTGTACTTTGTCATAACAACTCGCAATTACGCATGCTTGTATAACTACGTAAGTACAGTCGTATATTTTTTTTCTTCTTTTCGTTATCCATTATCTCAAAGTTTAGTGTCTTCATTTCGATCGAGACGTTCTTTGACGAACGTAAGTCACTTGTCAGCCATTGTTACAATTGTTTGTCTTGTTGGAAGCATTTAATATTTGTTTTAAATCAATAGTGAATCTTATTTTTTTTTAATAAAATAAAATAAATAAATCAAAGCAATTATAGTGGTGAAGAAAGTGTATACATCTTAGTAAAAATTAAAATTTAAAATATTGGAGAAAAGTTGCTTGTCATGGTTTTCAGTGGTTCTTTATCGACATTTCTTTTTAGTCTTTTAAACTATTAGTATGCTAATTTGATAAGACTTTGTTCGTGAAAATATATATGTTTTGAAGAATATATATCGATTCGTTACAAAAATATTGAGAATTTCATTTCAATTTGTAATGGCTACATGCATTACGAATTTCACTGCAAGTACTAATTAAATTATTTGAAATTATAAATATTAATGAAAGATATTTTTGCGTTTTTCAATACTTATTTCATTGTTTAAATCGAAAGATTAAAGGGAACAGTGTCAATGTTGAAATACATAATCGATAGTTTATGTGCTTGAAGCAGAGTGTAGGTGGTTTTTATCAAGCACTATTGTTACAATAATCGCGTTCTTCGATAAGGAAGTTTCGCAAAACGAGTGTGTTGGCTGTATGCTAATGAATTTATAAAAGAGAAGAGGAAGGAAGGAAGAATAGAGGAGAGGAAACCACGAAACAAACTTAGAATCTCACTTATATAGATATTTTACATAGATTCATATTCACAGAGTATATTATATTATATTATATATATTAATAATTTGTTACTATATTCATATTAAATATAATGTAAATTTAAATATGTATATAATATAATTTCACTATTTTCTAATGTAAAATTTCTTACTTGTGCATAAAAATCGAGTTACATTATTGACATTTATTTCTTTCATATTATAACTTTTAACTTTAATTTTTACAAATTTTATAATATACTTCAAAATTTTTTAATACTTCAGAAAGTTTTTACATATATAATATTGTTAGCGCAATCTATTTTTTCATTAAATACGCGAATTTTATAAAAATTTCCATTCATAAAACTAACAAGCATACATATTAAAACGTTTGAAAAAAGAGATTTAAAAAAAAAAAATCAGCAAGGATTCCTCGATAATTACTCTTCTCGTCAGAATTTCTACGGCCATCGAACCAATATAGAACAAACAGAAGAAATCAAGAATCAGACAAGTAACACCTCCTCGTGTTGTAAAGGGAGAGTTACCCTTTAAGAATGACTTTAAGTACATCAATATCTTGAACGTGAAGATCGTCCTTGATGTTCTTCGAGGGTTAAATCAGAGGGCCTTCGAAAATCAGAATCACACGCACACCGCATATATTTGTGAATACACGCAGTTGAACGTGGTTGTGAAACGAGCGGGGGATCATTCTGGTGGGGTTTTAACCGGAAACCAACGGCAGTCTCCGCGGAAAAGAAGCGAGCGCGGGTTCGAGGGAAATTAGTATCAGCTCGGTTGTTGCCGCGAGAAGTATAGAAACACCGTGTCGATTATCATTTTCTCGATAGTGAAGCATCGAGGTGTGCACATGGTCGAGGTGCAACAGTTGCGTGATCCCTTGGAGGGGGAACCGGATTGCAACCCTTACCCAACGACCACTAACCCCTCACCCCTGATCTCCGGGTTTGCTAGCTTCAGGCTTTCCTCGGAGAGATGCAGGAACAGATTCAATCGGAAGCTGAAGGGTGACGGTAAAGATCGCGTGAATATCTAATAATCTGCTTGGATCGAAGAAGCTCCTGTAGACGCGTTTTATTTCAAAACGGTTTAGATGATTTTTTTTTATTTTTTTTTTTTATTTTTGGAGCAATTATGTGATACTAGTGGTTAAATATACTTCACCGAATATTCGTTATCGTCGTTTTGATATCGCGTTATCGCAACGTTTATAGAGAAATACGAAGATAGTTGAAACAACCAATTATGGTTAAGAAATTTGTGTATTCTTATGTATTAATTGTTTGCGAAGACAAAAGATAAAGATAAATTAGTTTTAGAATGGAAAATTCTTCAAATTTGAATAATTTAATCCAATCATAAATGAAAATAAGCTTATGCTTTATTTTATGATTCGTAAAAATGAAGCGATAGAAAAATATTACGAAAATTTTCAGAATAAAATAATTGAAATAAATTTTATTTGATTTTTTTTTTTTTTTTTATTAAATGCGATAGAGATTCTTCGAATTTAAAGTGGATTATAAATATTTAATCGCGAGAAACGGTAGAAAAAAAAAATGTATCTATCGAATTAGGTTCAACTGTGGTACTCGAGAAAGTCAGCAAGGATAAAGTTGCGAAGAAAACGAAACTGAAGACGATCAAACAGAGAACTTGTGTGCCACACATGAGCAAAGCCGCCGTCAAAGTTTGGGAGACTTTTGCCGCTGTAAGAAAGACACGCGAATCAAACGACATCATAGAGACAGCTTTGATAGTCGGTTTAGATCGTCTCAATGTATCGACGTGTTGTGAAAACTTGAACGACAGTGCATTCTATGATGAGATTGATGTTTCGAGCAAGTCTGAAAATACCGGTACGAAGGAAATTAGTGGCATAGAAAAAGAGACAGGTTTGTTTTTAACAATTCTCTTATTTCTCCATTTGATAAATGAAATGATACAGAGTAATATTACATTTCATATTATTTAATCATATAAAAATATAGGACTTTGATTTGCATTTTGAAAGATTAAAAATAATTTCGAAATCAAGTTTTGTTAGATCTTATGTCTATTACAAGTTTGAGTAATAATATTTTTGAAAGGTTTGTTAGATTATGTGTCAATCTTTAAAATTTCTTTAAAATCAAATACATTTTAAAAGTTTCGATTGATAGGACATTGATAAACTGATTGATCGAATTTTTATTAATAATGTCAAAAGTTTCGAACTTTCTTCAGATGCTTCTCCTGTATGAAGGAAAGTTTCGATAGAATGACAGAAAAAAAATTGAATCTGTGAAGATTTGACAAGCCAATGGAAATTTTTTGCTGTCAGTGTTATATTTTGCCAGATATGTTCATAAATTTTCGTTACATCTATATAGTTATATGCCGTCTCTTCGTACAATTTATTGATGATCATTCTCTTTGCATCTTTGGCGTTCATCCGACAGATATCTCATAAACAGAATCTTGCGACTGTACAAATAGTACATGTCTAGACAAAATTAGATCAGGATCTACTGGAAATCTTACGTGTCTATATAGATGAATTGTAAGTTGTGTTCCGTCGTGTTTTTTCTTTTTAGGAATGGATCTTTTGTATTATGAAAATATATTTTAAATTTTAAATTTTCTTACTCCACTTATAAAATTTTTTGGTCCTGTATCGATACAATACAGTGATAATAAAATATATATATAAAAATAAAAATCCTGCATGATATTATTAACATTCATTATTTATTATTTTATTTCAAATATCAAATCATAATATTTTTGATTAAATGCACGAGATAAAATCCTCTCTCTCTCTCTTTTTCTTTTTCTTTTTCTTTCTATCCGCGTATTAAGATACAGATTTTTAAAGTACATAGAAAAGTATCGAAAAAGTTTTTCCAATAATTCAATCGTCGGGCTTTCTTTTCTGGCTAGGTAACTTTATTTGACGAATGATGGTTGTCGTTGCTGTAACTATATGCCAAGTATGCATTGGAATGAAAGGAAGGAAAATAAGATAGATCTCGCGCGGCACGAGCGCAGACGGCAACGACAACGACAACGAAGAAGAAAACGGGAAGGAGGGGCCCACAAAACGGTTTCCGGCCTCTGCGACACGCGCCTACATCGCCCTATCTAAAAATACTCGAGACTTTAGGCTTTTCCTTCGTTGCATCCCCTCAGCATACCTACCCCTGCTGATCTATAACTATCTGTCTGCTTACGGGGTTCAAGAGCACCAACTTTTTTACGATGGTATTTTTAGGTGTTACGAACTTTCATTGGATATTTATTCAGCCATTTAAGTTTTCCCCCAGTTAGTGAAATGCTGACATTCGTGGCCTTTGATGATATCACTGACAGTTTCGCTCTAATTTATCTGCTCTGTCGATCGAATTTTTAAATTTTGCTCGATTAACTGTGATTAATTCATGATATTAATATCGGTCCATTAAATTCGTTCCTTCTCGTTGATTTAAGAAAGATTGATAAAAAAAGAAGTATTATAATAATCGGCTGAATTTATATTGTCGAATGTTAATTTAGTAAGTGATAGCCTTTTAGCCCCTACAGCTGTTGGCAAAACAATTTACTTATTATCGAATAATCGGTTATTTTTCTTCGCACAACCGAATGGTCGCGAAATTTTCTTCGATCAATTTCAAACTGACAATCACAGATGAATGTAGAATTGTCGTGTAATATATATTATAAAAATATTAATTTTGCCAATTTAATTTATTTTTTCGTTGTTAGAGGACGCAAAAATATAATTTTTTTGATAGATTTACGACCTATTTTTGATCTAATAAATCGATTTTGATTTGTATGTTTGCTTAGCTTGAGATTAAAATGTTACTACCCTCTCTGCACATACTCTCATGATCTGCTTTTACCCTGAGCCGCATTCCTTACCTGATAAGCCTCCACATAAGACTGGATAGTTGGAGAAATGCCAGACATCGTGGCCCGTGTTAATTCGATGCCCGCTCGCATCAAATAGTTAAATCGAAATATTCGTTTCATTTCCATTATCATTGAGATAAACTAGCTCTTTCGTATTATTACGTGTAATTTTTAAATAAAATTTATATATTTGTATCAGATATATATCTTGTAATTATAATTATTTTATAATTTATGACTAAGGCGAAGAAGAATGTTCTTGTTTAATTTTCATAATTACATATAATTTTATAACTTCCAATAGGAATAGAAAAAATATCATTGTTATTTCTAGCATTAAGATTTAATAATTAATATTAGTAGCAAATTTTTTGTGTCAAATTCCAATATTTTTATATCATTAGAAGTTTCGTTTCTCTGTTTATAAAAGTTATAACTTGTTTTTGAATCCTTTTTGAAAATATTTTTTTCATTATTTTTAACGTGGAATTCTACCTTTTATTTTAAGATTGAAGTATATCGGTAACACGTCGTTCGTATATTTGTTGGAATTCGTTTACATTTTCCAAACCACTCTTTATAAATTTCATGCATTTCTAAAGAACATTCTGACCAAGGAGGGAAAGTAAGCAAAAGTATAATATCGAAAATCGATAGGTTCGCTTGTAACACACCTGTGATGGCCTTTTTGTAAAGCATTCGTGCGAATCAAAATAATTTAACTGCATTATGTCACAGATTTTATTACGGTAATTTTTTTCCCTATTTTGTTAGAATTTTTCATTTTTTCAATAAAAATGGAATAATAATAAATCCACATTGAAAGCAATTCTTTTAACGCTATATCGAAAGTTTATTGAAATCCCTAAAATGTATTTTAATATTCAATATAATGTAAAATAAATTATCGATATTCTGTTTGAAAATTATATGGAAAAAATTTTAAACAATACAAAACACAAGAAATATGATTAACTCTATACCTCAAATTATCATATCTTAATTTTCATTTGTTCCTATAAAAGTTAACCATATGTTAATATTTACTAATTAATGAAGTGTTTAGAGTAATGTATGTATTGAAACAATAACTGAATGCATTAATTTGTTTCGTGTTTTCAGGAGAACATCGCGGGGGCGTCATAGCCGGAAACGCGCGTAGTAGTAGCGAAAGAGGACGCATTTCCGCTTACAGCGGAGTCTCCGATCACGGCGATAGTATGGACAATCCTTCCTCACGGGAAGATATTTCAGAAATGTATGTTTTTCGTATTTGCATGAAATCGCTAAGAGGAATATTTTTTTTTTTTTTTTTTAATCATTTCGTCGACTTTTTTCTTTTTTTTAATCGTAGTAAAAAATATACGCATCTTGTAAGAGTTTTTTTTAGATCAAATTCTTATTTTCTTTTTTATCCTATGTTTTATCACAGCAATTTTTTTTATCTTGATGATTATTTCGTGTGATTTTTTTATTTATTTCTACAGTAAGATTGGTTTAATTTAATACACATTTATCATCGATTAAAAAAAATTGTTTTACTATGAACGTCATATCTTTTTCCCAAAATATGATTTGATATTTATGCGTTGTTTTCATTTCATTTATCGCAGTTGCTTAGCTGATTTCTGTTATAGATATTAATTTACGCTTCATTAATTACGATTACTTAGGGTGCAGCAAAATATTTCCAGTAAGCCAAAGACGTCAAACATAAACAGGTCTGAAAGTTACAAGGAGCGGATACATCACAAGGTAAGAATTCTAAAAATTTCTATTCCAAAATTTCTCTAGCGTAACGTGTAAACTGATGATTCAACGAACGAATTAAAATTTCGAGACACGCGAGATATCGGTCGAGTTTCGCGAAATTTATTTTTAAATAAATTTCAATGAAACGAGGTTTCATGTCGGATAACTTAATTTAGCATTCACTATAGTATGCATCTTTTAGTATCACTGTAACTGTTTTCATTGCAGCGACAGCTACGAGAGAAGAGAAAGACCAGCGACCCAAATCTTTCTAAAACGAAGTGAGTAGATATTTTATTTGATATATGCATGATAATTGATAAGTATATATAGTTATATAAACTGTCTAAGTTTCCTAAGTATCCTATGAAGATATAAAAATATTTTTATCCAAAAAAATTGAAGTAGCTTATGATTTTCAAAAGTGAGGGAATTTTTATTTTTCTTTATTTATTTTAATTTATTAATTAATTAATCAATCAATAGCTAATAAAATATTATTCTAAGTTTTAATTTTTCATTATTGATAAAGCGTAGATATGACTTATTTTAAAAAATTCAATAAAAAAATTTTCTTAACGAAATACATTCACACTCTTATGTCGATGCAAAATAATAAACTATTTTTCAAACTGTTTTCAACTGCTCTGTCAAACTGTCACTGCTTCTATATTACGCAATTGTATAATTGCCAAAATAGAAACGTTACGAAGATCGGCACTATTTTCAAACGAATTTGGATTTCACATTGATGCCTACATATCGCGATGAATAATTGCCGAAAAATATGGATTCAATGTACAAGATTTCATTTCGCAAAAATTTTTTATAAATTCATAAAGTGATAGTTTTAATTAATGCATTATAATGAATTCTTTTCCCTTGAATTCTATTGTAGATTTATTAAGTGTAATTTTTAAATCTGTTATTTAAAAATATTAAGAAATATTTTTCAATATTTTTGAAATAACAATATTAAGATATTAATAATATAATTTACAATTTTAAATAATAGAATGAAATTCAATAATATTATTATAATTGAATTGTTAAAGATTTATTTTAAGTATTTTTAAAACTAACTCGAGATTTTTAATCTTTATGTCAAAATTTATGAATGATCATAAAAGAAAAGTTGTTTACCTGTAAATTTTGATACATTTTTTAATACATTTCACTTTAATGTAATATTAAAATCCACTTATTAAAATACTATATAACACTATCATACAATCCACATCTCGTACAATAAAAAATAAAGCCACGAGTACCTCCTTTTATATTATTTTAATCTAACAATTTCTAATCATTTTCAAGACTGCTCTTCTAAACAAAAAATCCCAACACGCTCAAATCCCTCGAAAAATCTAATAAAATCCGATTTTATTGGTAAATCCATCTTCTTCTTCTCCGATTCGCTCACTATGTGTATCAGACCAACTTGCAATTGTTGTAACCGATCCGGCTGCAGTTCAAGAGATCAGCTGGAACGTCTATTCCCGGCGTTTCACTCGGCCCTGGAATTTTTCCGACACACCGTGTATAGATTTTTGGCAGGGTCCTACGCTTCTTAACCGGTGACTTTTCGCTTCTTGACGCTCTAAATCCCCGTACACGTGCAAACGGCGCAGACTCGACTCGTTCCTCTTCCTCTGGCAAAGGTGTGTATGCCAGCCAGAAGGCCTTCAGTCTGACGTTAAACGTTCAATTCCGCGGATGGATATTGCGTCGCTTCGACAGTGCGAAACACCCACGCGTTCACCCGAAACACATCGAACACCGATCCGACCGTCTCGTTTCGCGATTTCCTCCTGTTGACGCCGGTACGACTTCCGGTTGGATCGAACACTCGTGCTTCCCGCGAAGAACCGGCATCTGAAACGTGTCAGCGTGTCGATCTCTCGATCCTCGTGTCTATCGATCGAGGATTCGCCTCTTTTATGCGGGACGAATTTTCAATTTTCCATTATCCTTAAACTCGTGTCGAAGAAGTGGTTACGATTTCGTTAATATCATTGTTACAATTGTTGTTGGCGCTTAATGGGAATTATGACCGCTTTAATTGGAACTTTAGTCGGCAGTAATTAAACAGTAACAACCACTGACATTGGAATATTGGAGGGAACGAGAAAAGGTTTTTCATTAATTGGAGAATAAACATGATGATTGTGAAACGTTGACAATATTTAAATGCGCAGAGGAATTTATATAATTTTGTAATTGTTGTGGGTTTCGCTGTGAGTCTTTTGTTAAACTTGATCGTTTAGGATATCGAATTTGTTATTGATTCAAGAATAAATAGTGAAAAAGTTAATTGGCAAGTTGAAAGATAAAAAAGTTTTATAGAAAAGTTTTATAGAAAATTTTAAAATTTTCATTAAAATCTAATTTCAACAAGAAGATAATGATTAAATGTAGAGAATTAAAGTTCATTTTCCGGTGATTTCAATGCCTTTTGTTCGGACAATGAATATTGAAATCTTTTAAACGATTAGTTCTAAATTTATCGTTATGTGATAAGTTTATCGTATGTTTATTGTGTTATAAAGAAGTGAAAATTGAATTTATGTTTAACTTTTAGATGATTAAATTTAAAAAATGAAACATGCATGGTCGTAATTGTAGAGAGCATTAATTCGATGGACTAAAAATATGTAAATTAACAAAATTAAAGGAAGCTGAAATTATTCATATTCTGCGCATCTGGATGCCACTAGTTTTAACTGTGCATAATATTATATCACTTGCTCGATACATTGTATTTTAAATTTTTCAATGGTAATTTCAACAATATTGAAATATTTACAAAAAATTAAATTTTTAAAATATCTATAAATAAAGTATAATATTATAAGAGAAATAATCAGTTTAAAAATTGGAAAAATTTTATTATAATAAAATTTCAATATTAAAATACAGGAATAAATTATACCAACTTTTCACAATCATTTATAAATAAAATAGAATTTATTTTATATTATCACATTAAATGTATATTAATAATTCATCGAATTCGTTCATTTTATCATATTGTCATTATAGTCTCAAATTTTTAAAACTTATTATTTTTCTAACGATAGTATCATTGGAATTATTATCTTATAATTAGCTGAACTTTTCTTCTTTCCATGTTATAGTTCATTTATTCAGAATACAAATCTATTTATCCTATTTTTTGCAAAAAAGCAATCTAAACGAGTTAAACTGTTTGTCGCGGGTTATTCGACAATCTATCAACTATCTGTGAATAAGAATAGGTGCACACGAAAGATATAGTCATTGTAATTTCATCATTAGTGACGCTACATCAATGAACATGATAATGCCTTTAAAATGCATTTTAATTTGTTCATAAATAAAAATAAATATATATTAAACAATGGAAGGATTTTATATATCTATATTACATTTAATACATTTAAATATATATAAATTATTTTTATCATTAATTATTATTATAGCTATTTAATATTTAATGTATTATTTATATAAAAAATATAAAATGATTGAAAATGTTTGTAATCATCTTCATAACTTAGACCAATTGTAATTAAATCTAATTTTTGTTTTTTTTTTAGAATTTTTGAATTCATATAGTTTGGGTGATGATGAAACATTATAAACATGTTTTTTTGATTGATAAAAACATTTCATTTTGATATCTATGATATGTTATTAATGACAGGATTTACGGATGGATTATCAGAGTGGTTAATGATAATCGACAAAAGTAAATCTTTCATGAAAGATTTTTTCTTAAAGATATTCCATGTAAATACAGATCAAAATATTTGGAATTTACTATTTTTAAACATCTTAGTCAAACTTTTTTAAATTAGATTTAAAATTTATTTATTCAAAATTATTTTTCCATCAACAAAAAATGTATTAAAGAAAATAACAGAAGAATTGTGTTTATTGTTTCATCGGTATTCAGCTTTCATCGAATTTTTTCGGTGAAAAAATGTTCAATATTTAAATTATGCATGCCAATAATACTTTCGTTGATTTATAATTCTTCAATTTGGTAATTGGCAAAGAATAAAAATTTAATTGTTAGTTTCGTCCCAATTATTAATATTATTTTTAATATTATTTTTAAATAGAATAACACATAAACAAATACAAATGCAGAATATTTTTCAAATATAGAATGATTGAAATAAAATTTTATTGGAATGCGATATTTATTATGCAGAAATATGAATGTATATAAATAATATAAACAAAAATATAAATAGAATCTCTCACATTGATTCAAAATTGCAATCTCTCGTGAATGGTAATCTTCTAATACCAATAAAGTCTGTAACAATTTTCAGCAAAAAGATGGAAGAATGACTAATGCTTTAAATTCGAATCCAATGAATCAGAGATTGATCTCGTAACGAATTATACTTACAAATTTCGTTAATCTCTTTGAATGTTGATATATTTTCAATTTTTCTTTTCTTTGTTCCTTTTTTTTATTGCATTTCTTTTTTTAAATTATACGGGATTATTGACCTCATTGAGAAACTGCAAAGTTCATTTTTACTCGATGAAGCATGAAACTGCATTGTGACTCTTTAAACCCGGGGTTCGATAAATAAATAACCCGTGGTGGTAACTTCGTCATTGTCGTGCGTTTATTTCTGGAGAAACGTGAACGATAGTAATTTCGTGATATCATTAATAATCAAGCTGCGGCATGTAAATTCGTTCTTCTTGATAAAAATACACGTGTAGCAAGATTCGCGGCTAATGTATTGGTGATTTAATGATCTCGAGCGTGAGAGACGTAAAACACCATGTAAGCACGCGTTGGGAATAAGAATGTTATAAATCTTCTCTCGAGAGAAAGAAGATGAAAATCTCTTTATTTCTCTTCTCATAATTTTTAAAGGAGGACTTTAACTTTTATTTTTCCCAATGTTTTTAGATCACCGGTCAGTGTCCTTTTTTCTTAAACGATAAAATGTTGAAATTTTGAATTTTCGCGAGTATAAAAATTATGGCGAGTATTCTGTGAATTTATAGTAATAAAATTGTACTCAAAGTCATTAGATTAAATGTTTGCAAAGATTTATTTATTATTAATGAATAATTTTTTTTTATTAATATGCAATAGTTTCAAATGATGTGATCAATTTTTCCTTTTTCTTAAATTTTTTAATCAAATTAAATATGAAGAAATCCAGTTCAATGGAAAATTTAAAGAATTTTGATCAATTCTACTGTTGAAATAATATTTGAAGATGATTCGACAGTATTGTTTAAATGCTAAATAATAAAAACAAACGATCCTTTTATGATTGTTCGATAGAATATGTAGATGAATGCATTCAATCTTAATTTCATCGTACATAATATTATATTATAGTTAATTATTCTTTTACGGTTTTTTTTACCGCAAACAACGGTGCGATTCCTTTTGTTTTTTATCATACCTTTCTTTGTTCTTCGTTGACTTTTTTTTATTAAAACATTTAATTATGTTCATCAAACATTGGGAAAAATTATGCGCTTATAGTTATTATTCTTATATTAAATAGAATTTTAAATCGAATATATCGTAAATTTTTTTTTATTATAATTATTTAACCAAATAATGCTAAAATTTGATTTTTATTAGTTATAAAAAAATGACAATTTTATTGCATTATATAAAATTATATAAATTTTATATTTCTTCTCAAAATTTTATCTCTTCTTTCTTTTAAAAAAGAAAATTTTCATTCATTCATTTAATGATGCACAATGAATCGATTTGAGGGCAATTAATTCATTAAAAATTATCTTAACAGGAAGGCTATTCGTACAATAATTCGTATAATAAAGGTTTAGATTTCTGAGAATAAATGTGCGATCTACATTCATTGCAATTAAAATCAATCGACAGATTAGATTAGAAAATAAAACGATTAGAAAATATATGTGGCATTGACAAATTTTCTTATCTCCTTGCCCAAAATAATTTTGAATTTAAAAATTTTACATATTATACATTTTACTTTGCATTATTATCTTTCAAAGAATTTAGAATATTTTTTGTATAAAATATGCTAATTTTAATCATTTATCTTATTATAATAAATATTAATTTATCTTTTATAATAATAAATTTCTTAAACAATTATAAATCTCATAGTTTTTATTTTGATTAAGAAAAAAAATAGAAATGAAGGAAATTATATATTTTGTATATATGGAAACTTGTTATTTCTAAAGGGTTAAAGATAAATGCAACGTAATAGAGAATTTATTCTCTTTACGCCACGTGTACATTTTTAGTGTAATCGTTAATACCTCACTGCTATTAGTACGATTCGCATGAATTAGCCGGCTAATGCATCTGGTTTTAAAAAGATCGATGCATGTAAATGGGGAGGAAAAAGAAACCGATCCGTTTTGTATCGATCCGGTTTGTAGTACGTGTACACGGGTGTAAACGGGGACCAAAGCGATATCAGGCTACAGATAGATGTCTTGCCCTTTATTTTTGAAGCAATCGATACTTTCGAATCAATACACCGGCCATAGGCTCAGCTTCTTTTGCAGCCTCCTTGTCGTTGGCCAATTCTACACACGCTTCAATTTTTCGTGTATTTTATAAAAATTTGCTTAATAATTCTTGATACATATTTACAAATTTTATTTAATATTAAAGAATATCGTCAAATCATTTTAGAATAAAATTCGCTGTGACGAAATTTCATCTATAATAGAATGTTAATATAATATTATAATCAATATGAAAAACTTGTTTAAAAAATCTAAATCTAATTCGTAAAAATTTGTCGTGTTGATGGAGAAGTTCAGTTTCGTGGATCTGTTTGTAGAAAATTTCATTGAGCAAACGTTTGTTAAAGAAGGTGTCAGCGAACGAGACAAAGAAGTACGTCGATTTTTTTACTCTTCAAAGGAAGAATACAGGTATCATTGATGGTTACGTACAACTGTATGCACAAGGCAGTGTATCAGCCGCAAGTCGATGTCTCTTCTATATCTAGAGGGTTGATTAAAGTGATGAAGGAGCGGCTTCGATAAGGTTTAGCTTGATCGACATCGATTAAGTTCTCGTTTATAGTTAGAACCTTGCTGGGCGCATTATTTTAAATAAATAAAAGAAAAATCTGGAAAATCCGATGAAAATTGTTATTGAATTATTGATAATCAAAAGAGATTTGAATCATTTTAAAATCTAATATCAATTTTCTAGTCTCAAAATTTACTAACGAATCATTAACAATGATTGAATTTTTAAAATATATTTTTAATTAAAATTTTTTTTTTTATTTAAAATTCAAGAGGGAAAATAAATAAATTTCATAAATGGATTGCTAGAAAAATGTTAAAATTATTAAAATACTTCTACTTGCTTAAAGGTTACTCGTTCTTCTCACAGAAATAATCGACTAACAGTACGTTGGCATTTTAGCTAGATTGTCACAGTTATTATTTCGCTTGCACCCTTTCCATCAAGATTCAGAATGATTATAAAAAGGCGCCAGAATAGAATTACTAATACTATCTTTTTAAAAGTATATTAATACGTATTAACACATTGCTCCAGAATTTCAATAAAATTACGTGTGAATATGTTAAGGACTTCTTTAAATTTAAGATTTAAATCGCACACATCTCGTTAAATGAAAAAGAAAAAGATAAAAATCAGTGGAATTATTCGTCTCTATAATACAATATTCGTTGGTTGAGGAAATCCTCGCAAAGGCAATACGTAACGTTACGTTTGCAGCTGAGACGGCACATGCCTGCCAGCTTTACTACGTCGAGGAAGCCCTTTAGGGCTAAGGAGATATAAAAGATGAGACAACGCGGTTCTCGACGTGTCCGTCCTCGACCTAATTCTCGCGGCAACGAAAACTTAACTAGTCCGATATCCACCACGGAACCGTCTTCCTTCTTTGATCAGTCGAACGACATTTCATCGGGGTGCTCGAACGTGGAGGAACGTCTTTCGGAACTACCCATCGCTTCCGACACCCCCACTCACGAGAGACGCGGTGTTAATGAACGTCGTACAAGGTCTGAGAGGTACAATTCTTCAGTTATGATATTTTTAGATAGAAACTTAATTTTTAAATTCGTAAAATTCAAATCCAAAATCTTCTTGTAATAGTCTCGAAACTAAAATAAATTTAAGTTTAATAAATTCATTTGGATTTATCAACTTAAATAAAAATAAATTTATGTCATCGTAAGTTATTTATATTAAATTAATCTTTATTAATCTTTATTGGGTTTTGAAAATTTCGAATGGTAAAAATGGCAAAAAGTTTTCGAGAAGTTCGAGAACTTTAAACTTTTTGAATTTCGAAGAATATTGAGAATTATTTCAAATAAATGATTGAAAAATGTGAACTTTATTCATTATGTGGTTTGAGGCTGTACAATACATTACTTCACTAGCTACAATGATTCAATATCGATAAGAGTGTGATGTATTTCCTGTTTTAATTATGTTACACGTATGTTATAAGTCATTCTATTAATAATACAATTTTTTCGATGCATATATTAAATACAAATAAACAAATAGTAATTAGTAATATTTCCCTTTACTTTAAATTATTTATTATTTTTTTACAAATTATAAATTTTATATTTTTCTTTTAAAATAGCTATCAAAACATTCTATTGTAAATTTAATTCTTGTTATTCAGATAATTTTTACAAATTTAATATTAACTTTTTCCTTCTAAAATCATGTTAAGCAAAACTTATGAAATATCCCAATAAAACAAAAAGTGTAAAATCTAGAAAATAGATACCCTTTGTCATCTTTAACATAGTCTAATTTCCAAAGGAATCTTAAGAAGTATTATTGGTATCAACAAATTTATGTATAGGTATTGAAAATGGCTGCAGTAGCCGGTATTATTTAAATGTACAATCCTTCATTCGCTAACGATTGACTATAGGGCTGGTTTCAGTGATTCTGAACCGGCCGGGACATTTCCCGGAAATTCAGCGGGCAGTTCGTCGAACAGCAGCTTATCGACGAGAAGTTTGGACAGTCCGAGTACCAGCCTGGAGCAGGTACATCCAGCTACCTCCGCGGCCAATACATCGACCTCGTGGGACAGCGATGTTGATGTTGAACCGGATCCTCCTGATTGGAGTCAAGGCGTTGCCGAGGATGTCCTCGCTCGGCTCAGCAATGCAGAGAAAAAACGACAAGAAGTTATTAATGGTTAGTAGTTCTCTTTTGTCCTTATTTCATAATTAATTAAAAATATTTTATTCGCTATTTTTTTTAAATTTTTTCTTAAATTCTTTTTTAAAAAAATTTTTTTTTAATGAAACAAAAAACAGAATATTTATTTTAATATTAAATATATCTATAATCCTCGAAAATAATCTTAATTTTTCAGAACTCTTTCACACGGAGCGATCTCACGTGCGGGCGTTGAGAGTGCTATCACACGTCTTCCACAAGCCGCTCCTCGAATCACAAGTACTTCCGTTAGACCAAATACAATTATTATTTTCCAATCTAGATGAGATGGTAACAATTCATTCGCGCTTCAATCAAGCGATGAAGCGCAAGAAGAAGGAGAATCCATGCGTGGGCGATGTCGGAGATCTTCTTTTAGACATGTTCGATGGCGAGAATGGAGAAACCTTTGAGAGAGCTGCATCTATTTATTGTGCGAAACAGCAAGTGGCTCTGGATGCTCTGCGAGATCGTCGTCGGAAGGATCCGAAATTGAATTCTTTCTTAAATGAAATTGAGGCTAATCCTCTTTGTCGAAGGTTACAGCTCAAAGATCATATATTGACGGGGATGCTCCGATTGACAAAATATCCTTTGCTCTTTGAAAATTTGGCAAAATACACGCCTGAAAGTAACGAAAAGGAAAGAGCTGCTGTTTTGCGAAGTCTCGATCGAAGTAAGGAAATTCTTAGTTGTGTTAATCAAGCGGTACGCGAGGCAGAAGATTATCAGAGATTGGCAGAGATCCAACGTACCATCGACAGATCTGCATTTGATAAATTTGATCATCCAACTGTTCAGGAATTCAAGAATCTAGACATCACGAAACGTAAATTGATCTATGAAGGTCCGTTACAATGGCGTAGAACCGAACAGAATAGAGCAAAACCGGTCGATCTACACGTGGTATTGCTCGACGATACGATACTCTTGTTACATCGACAAGATGAAAAGTACCTGTTGAAATTTATCAATCCAAATCAAGCGAACTCTGTATTGAGTCCTATTGTAAAAGTATCTACTGTTCTTGTCAGGCATAATGCCGTAGATAAAAATTCTCTCTATCTGGTTAATACATCGCAAAACGGAGCGCAAATCTATGATTTAGTAGCAGCCTCGCCTGCAGAACGAAAACAATGGTTTAAACACATCTCTGAAGCAGCTGAAGCATATAAGGCTCGTGATAAACAAGGTAGAAGACCTACTCCACCTACTACACTGCCAGAAGAACCTGGACCTACGATCGAAGATTCTTCTTCGACAGAACATGACAATATTCCTAATAAAACGGATCAGGAGCAAGAACAAGAATCAGAAACAAAGGAATCTACGCAAGATACTAGCATGGAACAAGAAGGAGAAACACCTAATATTTCTGGACCTGAGATCTCAAGGATTGAACAAATGAAACAGCAACAACCACAACACTCATCCGAACCTTCAAACACAGGTAATACATACTTTGTTTGTTGTAAATGAAAAATTAAAAATATAAAATAATTTTATATTAAACGAATGAAAGTAAAATTATGATAAATTTCTATAAAATTTCAAGAAGTATATTTTTATTTTAACGAAAAATAGTTTTGTTATTATATCATGGAACATTTTTTAGATAAATAATTTTTTCATATATTTCCCAAATTAAAAAATAATCGTATAATTTTATAAATATTTTATAAATTTAAATATAAATTTCTACATTCTAAAATGTACTACATTTTTTTAATTAGGTACAGGAGAACCATTACGATTGGTTACTTGTACACAAGCATCATTAATTGATCCGCTTGAAGTTCATGTAGAAGTACCACCTGTACATGTTGCAGAACCAGTGCTTACACCAATAGGTATATTATTTATTTATTATGTAATGTAATATATGTATTTTTTTAAATAAATTATAAATAAATAGTTTATAAACGATTGATTATTTTATTTTGCAGAATGTCTTAGAAGAAAGGATGAGATTATTAAGCAAGCACTGATTGAGAAACAATTATTAGTAGCAGATATATTAAATATTCCAAAAGAAGATTTCGAACATGTGGCTGACATGGCATCTGAACCATCAAGTATAGAAAAAGAACCTGCTGAACTTATACTTGCTGCTATTAGTCAAGGTATTTCTATTAATAGATGATATTTATTTTATTATTACAAAATTTTTAAATGTACAAATATAATTTTTAAAATGTTTAGAAAAAAATATTTATATTTTTATAAAAATTTGATATTTTATTTTATTATTATAGCGAATCAATTGGTTGGAATGTTAAATTCTGCATTAAATGTAAGTGAAACGGAAACTATTCTTGCATCACGTGGAGCATCGATATTAGCAACACCGCCAAGTTGTGAGGCAACTGGTTGTCCATCACCACGAATGCATCTTCATCCACAACAACCAGCAATATCAATTGCAAGTTTACAACCAATTTGTCATTCTTTAACTTCTCAATTGTCACAATTATTGGTAAGACTCTATTTTTTTCATAAAATAATTTTTATAATTATATTCAAAGAAATAATTTTTAAATAAATAATTAATTTTAATAAAAATTGTTTTAAATATTTTATAAATTTTAGGAAATTATAAAAGAGAGAGAAGAAGAACGAGAGACATTAAGAAAAGAATTACGCAGAAGTAGAGAACGTCTTCATGCCCTTGATGCAGATATACAACGTCGTGAATTTTCAGAAACATGCACCGCATCAAGTCAAACACAAACAGAACCCAGTTAGTTTTTCAATTTTTTTAGAATGTAGGTTGATGTACATTTATTGATGTACATAATTAGTACATCTTTACATAAATATGATAATTAATTTTGTTTTTATGATTTTCAGGTGAAGTTTTAAATAAGGATAGCAGTATTGACGATCCCACTCGTGATGTAAGAGTTTTTAATTTACTACGAAATTAACTTGATTAATTTTTTAAGATACAAATATAATAAAATACTTTAATTAATTTTCTTACAAATACAATATATTTTGTTATATTCATATATATATTATATATATATATTCATATATTCATAAATTATAACATATTAACTTTTATTTTCTTATATTTTTCTTATATTATTTTCCTATTATAAATTTAATATTATTTTACAGGAATTTGTAGATGCACGTGGTGAATCTGAGGCAAACGAAGAATTGGAATATACAGAACACGAAACAGAAACAGAAGTAATGGGAGATAGTGTCGGTTGAAAGATGCAAGATATGTAATGCAATGCATTAAATATTGTCAACTAAATGCATTTCACGAGCAAGATCGTTTCCGAATGCTCATACTGGAAGAAATCAAAATTATGTAAAAAATGACAAATGGCGAGTAGCTGTTTATGGAATACAATAATATTAGATACATATTTACAGAGTCATGGGTCGATGATTAATCATACCTTTGCCAAAGATTTTATGTAACTGGATTTACATGATGTAACAGCGAATACGCGTATACATCATATTATATCAATGACTGGAAATTACATAAATTTTTTTATTGCCAATAATATAACGATACAGTTTCTGAAATAATATGGTGAAGGAAATTTTTTTGAAAGAAGTAAAGAGAATTCCAAATAGATTACTAAATTTATTTTTATTTAATATTTCTCTTTTTTTCTCTACATAAATAAATATACGGATACATAAATATACAAATTAATAAATTAAATGAAAGCTTTATATGCATATAGAACAATTTTTTTACTGTAGATTATTTTGAAATCTACACTGTAGTACTCTTATAATAGGTATTACTGTATAAAAATTGTTATATCATGTCTGGAATGACATCGATTTCTATAATATTGTTTTATATATATCAATTTGTATATCGAAAATTTTTCCTTAAGATATTTTTTAAAAAATTAAAGTCGATTTTATCGAAATTACTTTGAAATACTTATTATGCATTTTATACAAAAACATTTACGTAAATATGTTATACGCGTTTAGAACAATTTAGTCATCTCAAGAAACATAACTTTTGTGATCTGCTATGATATATTTGAAACCAACTGTGTCATTATAATAATTCAATAGTCATGAAACATAATTTGCATTTATATATATATAAAGATATTTAATCAGAAGATGCGTCGATATTTCAATATATGTAAAGAAATGCGAAGCATATATTAATGCAGAATAATGATTTTTGATGCATTATTATTAAATAATACGCTTTTAGATATACTTTCCTTATATTTCATGACCATATGTTCAGGATATTCAATCCAAAAATGCAAATGCCGACTATATGAATTAAAGAAGAAACTTTTTACATAATATATATTTTCTCTCTCTCTCTCTCTCTCTCTCTCTCTCTCTC